TTTGAATTAAGGCATGGAGAAAGCCAGTGTATTGATAAAGCATTCAAAAGGTGTCAGAGATATTAAAAACATCTTTCAGAAGGTACCTGAAGTTATACCAAGAAGAGGGGGATAAAAACCCAAATAATTTCATTTTCTCATTCACAAAGTATTTCTACTTTTCTCCCAAGAACAGCCCAGTCCTGTTTGTGCTATTCAAGGCCCCAATGACATTGCACTTCTCCAGTTCCCTTCTTCCTTTGTTTGCCTTCAGGGTTAATGATAGTTTAAACCCATAGGGAGCACAAAGAGACCCCACATTTCTATGATACAAACATTATTGTATATTATATACAAAGTATCACAATTTAATTCTAGAGGAATCCATTCATGTTCTTTATGATTATGGCAGAGGCTGATGATCTTTTTCTTGGGTAAAACAGCAGAACAGGGTCCACCTTTCAGTGATGGCCTCTGTTAGATGTTAGATTAGAGGTAAGAACAGAGCCTGTGCAATCAATCAATATTTCTATCAGTTATGGATTTTTACTGAAGCAGAAGGCCAGCAGGACTGTCTGGCACTGTGAGACTGCTTTTGGAAGGCTGTTCCAGCAGTTCCCTCTAACAGGAGCAGAGGGAGTTGAGTTTCAGGGCTGAGCAGAGCCTGGGGTGGGGTCTGGGCCATGCTGGAGCCTCCAGCCACAGCCACCATGGCCCAGAGCAGCTGGAACAAACCAAGGCAGGTGTTCAGAGGCTGCAGTTTCAGTTTCCATGGGAACACAGACTGGCTGCTCACAGAAGGCAAGGTGATTTCAACATTTTTAATGGGTATGATTTGGGATAATTTGCAAGCCCCTGACATTGCCTCCATGGAAATTCAGAGATCCATTCGTATGGAATGAGGATGGATCAGTGGCTGAATTGTGTCTATTTTAGCCAAGGCTCTCCTCTGGCAGTGGTTCCCTTGCTGCTGCTGTCCCCAGGCTGTGGGGCTCAGATGGACACTGGGGGCTGGGCTGTTGGAGTTTGGACATGTTTGGGAGCTGTATCTCATATGTAAGGTTCTGGAGGCTGGGAAAGACTGCACCAGTGCCTTCCAGTCTCCATTGGCATTTCCCAAACCACCATTCCAAGGGACCACAATACACCTGAGGACTTCTGACAATCCCAACCATCTCAGGGATTATCTGAGTATTCAGCATTTCTTTGTCTTCTGCCTTAATGCTTTCTACATGGACTCCCTCATCCTCTTGCTATGTAGAATAAAAGGTTTACTTTCTACTTGATCAGCCTCCCCAAAATCAGAAACATTTCCTCTGAAGAATCGCTTGCTTGGCATCCTGGATGTGCACAAAAATGTTTGTAGATGCTATTTTCGTATTTTTCCTACTTTCAAATCCAAACCTGCCACCCAAATCCCTGATAAAAAGCTTTGCTTAAAGTAGTATATAGTTAAAAATTAAATGAAACTTCCTTTCTAAAGAATGAGAAAATTTGAGGGGTTTTAAAACAATATTTTTAAAGAATTAATGTTTTTATCCTCACTTTTTACTACAGAATGGACTCAAATGGTACATTCTGCTGCCAAAAAATTTAATTACTGGGGGAAAAACCCCTCAGGAATTGTGGTTTTGGCACTATCAAATAGAACACCTCTGAGAGCAGGGGTGGAAGGAGATGCAGTGGCTGTCAGGGAAGAGTTCCACTTAAGGCTCCTTGTTGGCACTGCTGGATTTCTGAGTGAGCCTGTCAGGTCAGGCTGAGATCCCTTTAATGCTGCAGCCAGGAACATCACAAAGCTCCCCAAGGTTGAGGCACAGCAGCCGGCTTGGCTGCAGCGCCATTCTCCAATATGGCGCTGGCGGGCTGCGCGCTTAATCCTGATTGGCTGATCCTATCACCAGCCAGCCAGCCAGCCAATCACTGCTCGTGTCCTCAGCGGCCTGGGGCCCTCCCTGGCAGCCCACAGCACTCTGGGTACATCATGACCATCATTAGCTGTGTTTCAGTTTGTGAAAAATGCCAGTCACTTGTTTTTAAAATTTTAAAAGTTTAACAGTAATAAAATGGTTATAAAAATAGCAATATAATTGGAGTAATAATAATTTGGACAATTTGGATTAGGACAATATGAGACAATAGAAACGAAGAGTTATGGGCGTCTGGGTACCTCTTTCTGGGCAACATAAGCCTGAAAAAGGACACACATTAACAGAGGATTAACCCTTAAAAACAATAACCTATTGCATATTCATACACCTCATACATGATGCATAAATTCCATTCAAATACAGAATTCTGTCTGGTCAGTGTCAACTTCTTCCTCTGAACCCTCACGGCGTCTCAGGGCCGAGCAAGGCAGGAAGAAGTTCGTTTCTTCTGATAATGGAGCAATAAATTCTCTTTCTCTGAAAGATTCAGGTGTCCTGGGGCTGCTATCTTACTGCAAGTCCTTTCTTTAAAAAACAGCATCTTACCTAGCATAGTTTCTATTTTAACATTATGTTATAACCTAAAACTATATTTAACACACTACTTAAAAAAATTATACAGCATAACTTTCTAACATAACACATATAATATTCATTTTAATATTTGCAAAAAGCCAATCATAAAATAGGTATTTTTCACAAGTTATAACATTGGGATCATGTGTAACTGAGGCCTGCAGACCAGCTGTTAGCCACCACAGCCTTGATGGCCTGTTCCTGTTTGGAGCAGAGGGGATACAGAATCCTGTCCCCCTGGTAAAGCCCTGCAAAGCCACCCCTGCATGGTGCAGTGCCCATGGACATAACCCAGTGCCACCAGGGCCTGAGCCAGGGACCCAAATCAACCCAAATCTGCTTCATCACAGCCAGGGCTGGGACTCACACCAGCTGCTCTGACAACTCATCAAAGTACCCGGCCTGGAGACCTGCTCTGGGCTGGTCTGAGGAGCTCACCCACTGCAGGATTCACACTCTCTGAACCTGAGAGAAGCAGAGAACAGAATGATCAAAACAATTCTTATCTCAGTGGCTGTTCCTGTGTTGTGCCAGAGTAGAATGCACTATGGAGATTGTTTACCCACAGTGATGGTGGTTTGGTTCCTTGGCCTGTCAGTGCCAAGTGTGTGTGTATCAGGACTGTTGGCTGACAGTCACAAGATTCTGTGCAGTTGAGTGCTTGGCAGATTCAGTTTAGATGTAATCTAATATAGTGTAATATAGTATAGAATAATATACTATAATGTAATTAATTAGCCTTCTGATAAGATGGAGTCCTCCTCATCATTCCTCCCAGATGTCAGACAAAAATATCAGCTATAACCCACAGCACAGTGAGCTGCCATGCTGATGGTGTTGGAGAGAGAGCTGGGAGCTGCTGGGAGGTGACTGTGCTGCACCAGAGCTCTTGGGTGGGATGGATGCAGGCTCAGCCCAGTGTGAGGTTCAGTCAAATAATTGGCTTTGTGGCTGGAGGCCAAACTAAAAATAACAGGAAAGAAGTGTAACATTTTAGAGGGCTAAAACACACTCAGTTTATTTTTATGAACCCCAACAGCAGCAAAGATGGTTTCAAAACACAGCTGTAACTTGGAAATAGTAACAGGAAGCATTTGGGTTTGGAAGGACTGAGATAAAACTCTCTAAAAAGATCCTTTTCTTTTTCGATACAGATCAAGTATGACCAGTGCCCATGCCCTCAAAATACATTTTTTCAAGGAACTTGCCCTTCTGGAAGAAAGCTTCACTCCTTTCTCCTCAACACTGTCTGCAAGTGAATCCTCACATTTCTCCTCCCACTCTTATGCAATCATGATTTCTTCCTGCTACACCTCTGACCCTCCAGACTCGCGTCTGCCCTCCTCTGCTTGCACTTCATTTTCCCTCACACAGTCCCTGCACATTCCCTGTCTTCTTCAGACCATCAGGAAGGGACATTGTAAATTCTTTTAAACAGCAGCTACAGACTGCCCATGGAATGAGATGGGGTAACTGCAGCCCCCAGCTGCTGCAGAGCTCTCTGAGCAGAGCCCTGAGTCCTGCTGGAGCCCAGGGAAGTTGCAAGAGTTCCCCACTCAGAAATTATCTGCCCAGGGCTGCTGCTGGGGGCAGCAGGGAACAGCAGCACCCAGAGCAGGGTCAGTCAGTCAGCTGGAAATCAGTGAGTCCTGATGTGTTCTTGGTGGGGACAGACAGCTTTCACATAGGCAACCACCACAGGACTATTTTTCTTTTCTTTTCCTACACCCCAAAAATGCAAGTGAGTATTTAAGAATGCTTAAAACGTCCTAAGGAGGTGAACAGAGGCAACCTCACCTGGAGGACAGGTGCTTTAGAAAGGGTTTCAGGGAAGCTTTAGAAGTGTTACCCTGTGCTCAGGTATTTGCAACTGTGTTATAAGAACTGGAGGAGCTGATTTGAGGAGCTGCCTGAAATACCTGGTGTCAGCAGTGTGCTGAGTGTGCTCTGGGTGCTGCTCCTTCACTGGTCTGTGAGGCTTTGCTCGGGTCCTGGTGCTAACAAACTCTAAGTTCTCTTCTTTGTCAAGACTTTGGATTTTACTTCTAAATTCCACATATCTTGCATATTCATATGAACATTTATGTGAGGGCATGCAAATCAGGACTGTTCTCTACATCGACATCCATGTATCTAAATGTGTGCAGACACCTGCACAATTCTCAGGGTTCTTAATTTAACCTGAGTCCTGAAAAGCCTTTCCAGCTGCAAAATGCAGCTTTGAGCTAAGCTTCCCATGTGCAGAGGCTAGCCCCAGAAGGTGCTGCAGAAATGGGGCACCTATGTTTCTTTTGCTTCTTTTTCTTTGCAAGACCACAGCATTAGAGAATAGCTTGTCTCTTTGTATTGTGCTGGTTTCTTTTGCACTGTAATTGTCCTCTCTCTTCCTGCAGCTGATCAAATCATATTACTGAACTTAGTGCCTTTTTTTTTCCCCTCTATTTTTTTCCTGCCCGCTCACACACACCCATGGCAAGGAGCAGCCTGACACCATTTGACATCTCCTTGCTTCCTCATTTCAATATTAACTGTTTACCAGAAGAGAAACAGGTTTGGGGTGCGGGTGCTGAGCCTGTCTCTGTGTATGAGCAACAGCTCTTTTGCCCTCTGTCCCTCACAGCCACAGGTCATTTCTCTGAGCTGCCTGGAACAGCCCCATGCTATTGGCACCAGCCTGACCTCAGGAGGGACAGGTCTGTGGATGTGCTGCACTCTCTGCTTGGGCTGGGGTGCAGTGACGAGGCTCAGAGCTGTGCCTGCTGCCACTCTCACCCCACAACAGACTTGCTGAAGGATTCCTACCCCTCCACACAGCAATAATAATGACCCAGCTGCAGTTTAAAGATGCTTTTTGGGTAAGTGAGCATTTACTATGTGTTTCCTGTATTCAATGTATCTGTATTTTAATTTTTTTCAATGCAACTTGGTTCTATATATAGTTTAAACTAATTTAATGCTTTTCTGTGTTCTCAATTTAATTTAGTAAAAATCCAAATTTGTCTCCAAGCAAAAACATAGTGTTTAGTAGTGTGTTTGATCCTGGGCAGAAGGATGCAGTGTAGAGTCTATATCCAGTCCCCATAAAACCACTGACATTCCCAGCTCCTGTGCTAGGGCCAGAAGCCTCTTTTGAAAGGGACATGGATTTGTCTGTGTCACAGTGCTAAGAACCTGCTTGCAGTGAGTGTCCTCAGCTCTACAAGTGGCTCCCAGGTGAGCTGTTGCTAATTATAAGCTGAATTCCCTCCTGTTTGCTGAAGAGCAGAGCCAGCAGCTGTGAGCAAAATGCTCCTGCTCAGCTCCCTCCAGGCTCCCACCCTGCTGCCAGGAGCATTCCCAGGCATGCAGAGCCCAGGAGCTGTGAGGCAGCACAGGTCAGAAAGGACCAGCAGTGACACTCCATAGCTGAAACCCTCACAGCCGACCTTAAACCAGCAAATACTGAAACAAGGAGATCTGCTCCATACCTGTTATTTGACTTTTGTTTGAGAATCCTTTTGGTCTCCTGCTTTTAAGCTCTTTCTCTGCAGTTACAAGGTAAAAGCACCTTAGTAATTTCTCTGTGATAATCTGAGTTTCTCTTGCAATTGGAGAATGAAAGTTCAAAATCAAAATTCTATCATTGCACAGTTGAGTAAACAGGATGTTATGTGGTTGCCTCTTTTCTGGGCAATCAGTTATCCAGCATCAAGGACTGACTAAAAGAAAGACATGAAGCTATATGAATTCTTTCTGCTTGTGCTCTCTTTCTCTCCACCCACGCTTCAGGGTAAACCCTCTCTTGGTAGAAAACAGAAGGGCAGAGGCAAAAACACATTTCAGTGAACCACCATCCTCTGGGCACTTCCAGGAAGCCCTCCCCACCCCCTTTGCAGGACTAGATTTGAACAGTTAAAAAGAATAAAAATACAATGAGGAAATACGAAAGTCGCTGTTGATGTTGGGACCAACTGTGCATGACCACACCTATGTGAGATTCTCCTCATTTCTGCACCCTCTGACTGCACAGTGCAGTGCACAGGGTGGGACACAGCTGGGGGCTGCCCTGGGAGCTCCAGCCCTTGCATTGCTGAGCTTCCTAGGAAAACAAACCCCCTGACTTTTAGGGCTGGGACATTTGGGGTAGTTACTTTTCAACGCCTTGGTCTTCAGGGAGAATCAGTCAAGCTATGGCAGCAGTGTGAGGGTGATTAATGCCAGCTGACAATCTGGCCAGGCTGGTTCTTCATGGCTCTTCTTCCCTAAACTTCTGCCCTGTGCTTAGTCACATTACCATGACTCAAATCCTTGCTTAGCTTTGAAGCTAACACTTTATTTAAAGGAAAGCATCTTTGGATTTCATATTTTTTGGCTGGAAATGTACTGCCCAGATTGATTAGGAGGGCAAAAATGTATCAGGTTGCAGTATAGAAGCTATAGCTATACAGTAAGTCTTTAAAAGTGAAAACTTACAGGATATTGCACAACACAGCACAAGCGTGCAGCATGCCCCCCAGATCACAAGATCAGCAAATATTTTTGCATTCATAAGGTTCTGTTGTGAGAGGAAAATGTATTCATGTGGTTTGCTTCAGCGAGCAATTATCTCCTGTATTTGGTCTGTACACTGAGCAGAAACTTTCTGATGGACACCCAGAAGGTGCTTGCCCCTGGTGGGTGCCTCAGCACAGAGCCCTGACCTCTGACTGCTGCACCCCTCCCTGTGCCTCACCCTGAACAGCTGCTCCCTGCTCCACCATCAGGAAACTTTTGGATAAGCAGGGGTTTCCTCAGGACCTGCCCCAATGTAAAATATGGAAAGAAACCCTAAAAGCAGGAGATCTCTCCCAACAAGCAGAGAATCCCTCCCCAAAGTCCTCCCTGTTCATAGAACAGGCTGTGCTGTCTTCCAGGGAAAAGCAACTTGCTCCTCATAACAGGTTTAAATTTTATCCTCTCTTTTCCAAATAAATGTAGCAGTGATAGTACTATACTAAAACTTCCACACTTAGTTCACTTTCATTTTCTTTGTAGCATGGCCTGAGCAAAAAACCCATGGATTTTTAAATTACAGTTTTTATTTCTATATACTCCACACTCTCTGTAATGGTTTAAGGGACAGTTGCTCAAAGTCTGCACTAAAATGTGCTTCCTAGCAGAAGTTTTCTATCCTCTGAAAATATTTTTTGGAAAATGTTAGTGAGATGGAAATTCAGATGGGGTTTGATAGCCAGGGCAGGGAAGTTGCTGATGGATTAATATTCTGCTGGGCTGCTGTACAAGCCTGGCAGATGTTACCTGTCTTCTCTAGCATCACATGAGACAGGCAGGGAAATTCCCATGCTAAAGGGGAGTGTGTGTGTGGCACCAGCATGTTCCATGTTAATGGGGTTATGTTAACAGGCAGAGCAACAGTAATTTTGTTTGTTACAAAAACCACTATCCAAGAAAATCTTTCCCCCTCAGTCACAGAGTGTCTGAGTCTCATTCTCTGTTCTCACACTCATTGTTGCTTTTCCTTTGCAATTTCTGTCATTGCCTTTTCCTTCTATTTAGTCTCCCTCCATCCTGCTGCTCAAAACTGCAGCTGCAGCCCCTGAAATGCACCTATTTCTGGCCAAGGGATAGGAAGGTACTGGTACCACTTCCTGGCTTTGCCATACCCACCTGGGAACAGGGAATGAGGAAAACTTCCAGAGGAGCTGGTTGGTTTTGGGGCAGGCTCCAAAGTGCCCAGAGTTGAGTGGGAGCAAATCTGTTCCTTCATACAGCTTTGAATCAAACTCAAGCAGCCAAGTCAATTCTGAAAACGTATCATGGGCTCCTAAGGTACTCAGGATTTAAAAATAAGTGCTTGAAGTGTGAAATGCTTGCTCCTTCTCAGCTGTGGAATGAGCTTGGGGCTTGTGAATTCTCACAGCTCACATATAAAAGTGTGGGGGAGATGCAGGCCAGGAAACATGAAGCAGCCTTGAACATGAGCTGGGGGATTTGCTCCCCTGCCCTGCTGTGGGCTGGTCCTTTCCTATCCCTGCCTGTGGAGCTGTGGTTGTGGTCAGACACTGCAGCTGTGGGAGCCACGGGAGTGCTCCAGGAGCAGGGACTCTACAAAGATCTTTAATGTCTCTGGCTTTGACTTCAGGCCATGTTCAGCCTCAGGTTCAGTGTGAAGCTGACTTTGTAGATGAGCCTCTCAACTTCTACTTCAGCTTTTTCACACAATGGTCTGTTATATATGCCAAAAAAGATATAATTAGCTTCACAAATAATTTAGCTTCTGATGAGACTCTTAACTGTGGAACAAGAGCTCTGTGGTGATAAAAGTCACAGTAAAGCTATTTCCTAAACTTATTAGGCAACATGCTGAAGAAATACAGCATCAATTGTTTTACTCAATATAGGAAGTGTTTTTATATAGCAGGAGCTACCCTGCTTTCCTGTAGAGGCTGAGCTTTGCAGGGCCCATTGTTTTGCAGCAGGTATGTGAGGAGGAAGTGATACTGGGCAGGTTTGTTGGGAGGAACTGGAGCTGGGAAGGCTCCTGCTGGCTGAGGCTGAGCTTGGACAGGCAGGGATGAGGCTGGCAAACCTTCCAGCCTGGCATCCCAGCTTTGCAAGAGGGTCCCACTGAGTTTGATTTGAATGGCATGGCACCAGTTGCATCTGGCCCTACTGACAACAAGGCAGGTTAAGATAAATCATCTCCCTGCACAACAGCACACAGGTGGGATCTGCTGTCAGCCTGTCCTGCACTCCCTGAGCTCCAGAGGGGGGGCCATGGTCCTGGCCCTGCACTCCCTGAGCTCCAGAGGTGGGGCCATGGCCCTGCACTCCCTGAGCTCTAGAGGTGGGGCCATGGCCCTGCACTCCCTGAGCTCCAGAGGTGGGGCCATGGCCATGGTCCTGCACTCCCTGAGCTCCAGAGGCAGAGGCATGGCCACAGTGCTGCTCACATCCAGGCCAAGGCATTGCTGCAGGATGTGTGGAAATGGGGAATAAAGGGGGAACCAGCTTGGAAAAGTTGGACTGGTTGCCCAGCTGATGTCTGTGTTTGTTGTGAGGTCGACTTCATCTCCACAGAAGAGGCTGCTCTACTCTTTTTTTTACATGTAATTTCTTCCTCCATTTCCCCAGCTGCTCAGAGACATTGGCTCCCTGAGGCAATGAGAAGCAGCCGTGGAGGGGGAGCAATCACAACAGTCATTGAAACCAGAGGAAATTATAAGTAGAAAACCTGAGCAGTCATTGTGGCTATGGAAACACTGGTGTTTCACAAGTCGCTCCTGAGCAGAGCACAACAGCTAAAATGAAGCTCAAATGAACTAACACTAGATGAATGGATTTACAGAGAGTTCATTTTGGGTCAGTGACTGAGATAATTAGACAGTTAAATACACTTTATTATAATTTTCTGATGACCATGTTGCAACTGAGAGGTTTGAATATTAAAATTAGTTGATTGATGAATTAAGTCACTATGACCACTTTGTTAATATTTTTACACAGCTGTATCTGGTTTGTTTTGATCCATCCTGCTCTGCAAAAGTTGGTTGGTTTTACTTGGGCTCAGGGAAGGGAAGGATTCTTATTTTTGCCAATTTTAAGTGTGCCATGAGTCTGTATTTTAAATATGGAATAGATGAGTCATGGACTCTGCCCACACGTACACAGCTACATCTAACCACCACCACTTACAGAGTGTTTGTCACACCTAGCTTGAAATGGAGCCTCACTCAGAGATCAGAGGGTGTCCTCTGGCTTGTTAGAGCAGCCCACTGAGGTGCATTTGTGAGGCAGAGTCACAGAGTGGCTGAGGCTGAGAGGGGCCTCTGACATCTCCAGCCTCCCCTCACCCAGCACAGGCCCAGTCACTGCA